TATATCAGAAAGTAGTAAAAATTTTAAATGAAAAATTTTTCGTTCATTTTTATATATATATATAGTGAGTCAAAGGTAAATATTATCAAATTTAATTAAAAATAAATCTTATAGTCTAATTATTTTATCGATTCAAAAGGCTGGAACGTACAAAATATTGACAAAAGAAATCGAGTCCCTTTTATTCAATTCAAAATCATCTTTGAGAAAGCAGGCAAATTTTGACAAAACTCTCAGGGTGGCCACCCGTCCTCTCTATGGGCAACGCACAGGCCCATACGAATGCTATAGCTTGGCCCATTGTGGCTGACAAAAAAAAAACCCCTTGTCAGTTGTTTTGACTTTTGAAGATACCAGTTATTAATTCTTCCATAAACAAGGTGATTTTCTAACATGATAAGAAAAAAGATTAATTCTCATACGAAACCATATCTGCTTTTTTGGGGGAAGCCATCTTTAAATTAGTTTTACAAATGTCTAGTGTAAAACGAAACGGGCATCGAATTTGACATTTAAATATCAATGATTAATGGTATTTAGTAAATTCTTGTTTAAATACATCCACTCAAATATCCAATGACAGGTATCATGAAATCTAAATTTGAGAAAATAAACTGAAAGAAGTGGGATCGGACCATATAAAAAAAAAAAATTTTAAAACCCAGAGTAAATTTTAAAAGCTAATTGGCGAAAATACGCCTTTAATACTTCAATTTTATTTAAGTTTTTGCTTTGGTCTTTCAATTTTATAAAAGTGTCTTTTTAGAGTCTTTTGATCCTAGTGTGATTAAAAAAACCATTGACGTTGAAATTTTACATATTAAAAAAATCTATATATTATAATTATTATTACTAAAAAAATTTATTTTGAGACGAATGTCATCAGGTTTCGAAGACTTTTTTTTTTTTAATTAGGAGATAAGACTGAAATTTTATGCATAATTAAAGGATAAGAATGCATTTTTGACAAGAGAATTAAATCTCAAATATTTATTGAAGTCACTGAAGTGGCATTTGGATCTGAATTGACACGTAAGGAATGAGGTAATATCCATAATCCATACTCCATGGAAAACAGAGTTTATACTGCCTTAATTATAAAAGATCATTTATAGATTATAAATGAGGCTTTAAGAGCAAAGGTAATATTTCTGAAGCTCCATAATGTGGATCGAATAGGAAAAGCAACTAATAGTAGGGACCACGTACGAGCCAGTCTGATGTTGGGCATCCCAATGACCTTTTTCTTTCTTTCTCCTTCGTCTCTGTCCTTGGCGCCCTGTAAAGGCTCATCTATCTCTCCGGTTGTTTTTTCTCCATGTTTTTTGATTCTCGGTTGTCGCTGAAAAAAACAAGGCTCATCTATTCTTACTCTAAAGGCAAATTTTCTCCAAAACCTCTTTCCTGGCTCTGTAATTTTTTTTTTGGTTGTCTTTTGTTTTGTTCTATAAAATCATTGGTGATATAGTTACTGAAAACATTTCAGAGTAAGTATCATGCACCTATTATGGTTTCCTCCACAGAAATTTAATTTGTCATTACATACTACTCACTTGTTGTTGTGAGATTTTTTTAATAATTGAATTACTGTGTGGGATTATAAATTACTCCTCCGGTCCTTATTATAAGACCCAATTTGACTTTTTATTTGGTCCTAATTATAAGACCCAATCCATTTTCTCTCTTATATTTATGCATTTTTTTCCAAGATAATCCTTCTAATAATGATAGTTTTAGCCAATATACTTAATTAGCAAGGATATTTTAGGAATAACAACACTTATTTATTATAAATAACCAACTTAACTTACTTCCTTAATCTCTTCAAATAAGTCAATTGGGTCTTATAATTAGGACCGGAGGAGTAATTTTTTTCTTTTCTTAATGCGCAATGATGAAAAACTCAAGGCTTTATTAGGGAAAGTCACTGATAATTAATTCATTCTCTATTTACAATTCCATTCCATATTAATTCTTTCAGAGTACTAATACTAGGGAGAATATAGCGTGAATAACCAAATTCATAAATTAATTATTAACAATGTTATCAAATTTATAACCCGCTCAAAACCGGTTTGGGTGCTCATATCTCTTAGATCTGGTTTGGACGTTCGGATTTAATGTTTTTTTTATTTTTATTTTTTAAAATAATTATAATCTTTTGATTGTCACTTTTTTAAAAAACAATTTCTTATTTGAAAATAATTAATTAAAAATAATTAAATCTAGACCGTCTAAAGGAAATATAATGGGCTTCAAGTGCTCATCTTTAGCATGATGAACACCCAAACAATGCAAACTTTTGGACAAATTATGAGTATTTATGATTCAAATAATACAAATTTACAACTGGAAAGATGAGCTTTTGGTGCTCACTGAGACGGCTTCCTTGTCACTTAATTATACCATGGGTGATTATAACTTGCAGCTGGCATATGAGCTTCATTTTCCTTGGTCAGTTATAATGGGACTAGTAATTAAGAAATTAGTTGTGCGCGTTACAACGTATGAATTGAATCCCAACAAAAATAGCCATAGCCCAACTATAATCAAATAATTGTACGTATAGGACCACTTCTTCATTGCATAAATAATGACAAATTACCTTTTCGATTCTGTGGACAAGAAAGAGTGAACGTTGGCTCTTCAGATCTCTCCACGTACGCATCATATTATACGTGCTGTGCTAAGATTGCACCCAAGTCCTTCTGTTTGAAGCGCCACCATCTATACACTGTACCAACAAAAATAATAATCACAGTATACGCCGAATAACTTAATTGAACATAATAAATGGGGCATCTTTCGTGAAGTTCTCACATGGAGACATCCTCCTCAGGACTGAGAACTGGCAAGTGGTGTAAAGAAGAAGATGATCTTCTCAAGGCCTGTGTTCTTAAGTATGGTGAAGGAAAATGGCACCTTATTCCTCAGAGATCAGGTATGCCCTATTAAATTTTTGTTTTCCCCCCTCATTATCAGGCACTTATACCCACGTTGTAATTAGATGAGTACTGACGAATATAGTTGATGTATGTACAAAGTGGGTCTCATTTCAGTCACGAGTTCACTATTCATGCATAGTTATATATTTTACAAAACCAAAAATGACAAAATTTTGAAAAGAAAACGTACAAATTAAAATCAAATTACCATTTTGTGATTTGCTTTGCGGAGGCTTGAAAAGATGCAGAAAAAGCTGTAGGCTGAGGTGGTTAAACTATCTGAAACCGGACATCAAGTGGGGAGACTTCTCTGAGGATGAAATTGATATGATGATCAGGCTTCACAGACTCCTGGGAAACAGGCACGTCATTCTCTATATCTAGTTCATATGCCTTATACTCTTACAAGTCTTAGTTAATTACAACTAATCTGATGGCGTTTTAAACGACTTTGTTATCAAATATAGAGCGATGTATAGTTAATTTTTTTGATATGTATGTAGATGGTCACTGATAGCTGGAAGGCTTCCTGGAAGAACACCAAACGGTGTGAAAAACTACTGGAAAACCCATATGAGTGAGAAGGGACGACTTGTTTCATCTCAGGGGAGAGAGTTGGAAGAAAAAGCAGAGGAAACAACCATGAGAAGCCGTACACCAACAGTGATAAAGCCTCAAGCTTTCAGCTTATCGCCATCAAGAAGCTCATCGTCCTGGTGGAGAAATAAAAATCCAGATGGTGGTGAAGTTAGCGAAGACAAAAGTGCAAGCAGTGGTAGTGGGCCAGATGAAGAGCAAAACCAGAAGCTGGTAGATGAGGAGTCGGTGGAGTGGTGGAAATGCTTGCTTCTTGATGATAACGACATTGAGAACGAAGGTCAAGAGAAAATTGGCTCATCATTATCAACATCATCATCAACGTCATCGACGGAGCAAGATGGCAAGTCTGATCAATTCTGGGACCAGCAACTTACTTGGACTGATGACTTTCCTCTAATCACCACTCTCCCAGATTTTCTAGCCTAAATTATTTCCATTACTTACTGTTGTGGGAAATAAATATTTGTATGTTCTCTTCATCAATGATAAGTCTCATTGCATATCCATCAGCAGGTTGGAGTGAGGCCAGGTCAGATGAATTTACAGATAATAAGACACGACAGAAAACAAGGGCAGTGTTTGGGGGCAGTTCAGGAAATTAAAACCAAACCAACCACCAATGTCTAGCAATTGAGATCATGGTTAATATTTCTGTTCAAAGCACCAATAAAATATATAGGAAGTGAGCAAGGCAGTTTCTGGTGGCTAGACCATGGAAGGGAAATTTGCCGTTATATATAGTTAATGGTGTGATTTTCTAATTTGGAGTGATTCGCATCATTTAACTGCTACTATATGTTTAGAGGGTCCCCAAATGGACGTTCCCCAAATCCAAGAATTTCCCTCCTAAACAGACGCCTAAACATAATGTATATCTGCCAGTTATGATGGGGTATTTTGTAGGGGGAAAAAGTCATATAAATTACAGGAAGTTCGAAAAACTAACGAGCTTCCCTATTTATAGATCATAAACATCATACAACTAGTTAACATTTTCATATTATATTACCTCTGGACCTAAATATAAGAACTAGTTGACTAATTTAAGTAGATTAAAAAAATAAATTAAATTAGTTATTTGTAATAAGTAAGTGCTGTTTTTCTAAAATATTCTTGCTAATTAAGTTTATTGGCTAGAATCATTATTATTAGAAGGACTGTCTTGAGAAAAAATGAATAAAATAAGAGTAAAGTGGATTAGGATTTTATATTTAGGACTAAAATAAATATCAAATGAAGTCTTACATGCATTAAGGATTGGAAGTAGTATATAGATAAATCATGTAATGGCACTCGTACAACGTTTGTTTGTCGATAGCGTGATTGCATTATATTGTTGGTGGCAATATGTAATCCGCCATGTAGATGTAAACAAATTAAATAAAAAAAAGAAATATTGAACCATGTTAAGTAATACTATATATATAAATATATATGTATGTATATATTAAAGAACTAATCCAAGTTCTTGAACTTGCTTGTCTGGAATGACCTATAATCTGCCAACAATCTGACCGTGCATCCTTTCCTGATATCCTCCACGATTGTCCTGATAATCTGTTCATTAATAATAAACTAATCAAACCCTTAGCCACGTACACACTCATCATCTTGTTATTGGAACCTGATTATAATTATAAGCTATAGAGTAAGAGAAGAAAACATTAATTAATTAATTAATGAGGCCAACCGAAAGCATGATGCTGTCCAGGACATGTTGAGGCACCCAAGAGAGAAGTTGAGGAAAAACAATGGTGGCATTAACGTTCAAATGATTCTTAATAACGCAGCTTGGAGGTGTTCCACGTAATGCTTCAGGGTACAGGGTTCCGTAAGCTTCGAGGTCGAAGAAAGGTGGCATGTAATCCGAATGCAGACCTTGGAGCTTCCATTTGGTCTGCCAAGGACCAAATGAAATGAAAAGCTATATATATAAATATATATGTATAATGACACGTAGAAAATAAATAAATAATATACTATTTCTGATTTTTAATATAAGAATTAGTTGACTAATTTAAATAGATTAAAAAAACTTGTTAAGGTGGTTATTTGTACAAATTGATGTTATATTTCTTAAAATACTCTTACTAATTATGTGTATTAACTAGAATTATCATTTAATAGAACTTTTAATATATGCAACTACTACAGAGGCAACTTTAAAAAAAATATGAAAGACAAAGTAGATTAAAATATTATATTTAGGACTAAATTAAATGTTAAATTATTTCTTATATTAACTACAGGAGGTTGTAGTATATAAGAAGGAATTAAGTGCTTACAGTGTGAACTTCGACGAGCTTGGGAGTCGAAGGAGGAACATGAGGAGGGTAATCTTGTCCATTTGATTTGGCTGTCACCCTGAAGTCTATCACTGGTTGTATCCTTGTAAATATGGCTTCCATCACTGGCATTTTTACTCTCCACTCTTCCTGATGTTCATTGTATCACATTATTAATTATTCTTATATATATATGTAGTTACAGAAATTAGGCATAATTGGATCTTTTTTCTAATCACAATAAGCGATATATGAAATGAACTGATTAATTGAAATTTACACCGAGATGTACCATTTAATTTCAACCCAAAACTAATGACATCACTCAAATACGGGTTATGTTGAGATATATATATATATACTCAAAGCAGGTCATAAACAAGAGTGTAAAAGTATAGAAAAAATTATTTTGCAAGCACCTATATATTTTGATTAAATTCTTTAATTTTGCTTTGTTAACACTGTTAACTCCTATACAGAAATCAATGGTGCTAACAAAATAAAAAATTAATGGATTTAATCAAGAGAAAAAAAACACATGTGCAACAGATTAAAAATTAAGGAAAAATATGAATACCCGCAAGAAGGTTTTCTCAAGAATATATTCACTGGAAGCCATCCGTCTTTATTCACAAAACCCAAAAATTTGCTCATACGTGTCGGGTTTTCAGAAGCAGACTGTAAACACCGGTCCATGCGAAGCGGGAAAACTTAAAAACGGCAACGCATCACACAATCTTAATATAGGACAAACGATAAAGTCCCAGAAAGGAGAGAACATAATATTTGAGGGCATATCCCTCGGCAACCTACTTAACTACGTACGTGGTACATGCTATAACTCATATCATAACTACATCAAATTGAGTACGAAACCACCTAGCCAACTTATGATTAAGAAGGTGTTTGGATAGAAACTAAATCATAATTTTAAAAGTATTTTTATAATTTATGAAATAAATATGTAGAGAAATTTGTTTTGTTTTACAGGAAAGTGATTGCCAAACACCCCCTAATAGTTATACTCTAACAATTGTTTTGGATTGAGTGAAGTTATATGGAAAGATAAAGGGTGGAGAGAATGCTATAAAAAAATTTTTCAAAAATAGTTACAGATTTTATTATTTTCTTTCTATGCTAACTAAGGATAATAATTGACAAATAAGTTTTCCTATAAATGACTCTTAGACGTGACGTATGGAATGGAATGGAATCGATGTAAAAAGGGTACGTGCACTTAATATTGTACTACCTCCGCTCTTTATTATAAGACTTCGTTTGACTTTTTGTTTGGTCCTAATTATAAGACCCCAATCCATTTTGTCTCTCATATTTATATATTTTTTTCCAAGATAATCCTTCTAATAATGATAGTTCTAGTCAATATACTTAATTAGCAAGGATATTTTAGGAATGACAACACTTATTTATTACAAATAACTAATTTAACTTACTTTTTTAATCTTCTCAAATAAGTCAATTGGATCTTATAATTAGGATCGGAGGTAGTATTGATTAGCAATTGAGAAGCGAAGTGCGCAGCCACGGAATAATCATATCATCGGGAAGAGATGTCTCTATAGAAATAGCGTGGCAGCCTTAATTTCCACGTTTTAACCGATGGACTCAAATGACGAAATTACCAAAACAAAGACGGTAAACAAGACGTGAAGATAATCAAGTACATGGTAATTTTTTCTTCTCTGGAAGAGAGATGAGAAATTAGAACTAATTAAACTCAATAATCAAACCAAAAACATTGAATGATGGGAAAGCAGTACTAGAGAGAGAAAATGATAATCCAGACCTGATTCAACCGCACAGCACTTGATCTTTCTGGAATGATAGCTCCCACTATTCTACCCGTGTCCTCCATATACTCTTCAAACCAACTCTGCCCAACCCAATCACTCATAATAACTTTGATGTCTTCCAAGTAAGTAATCAGATCGATTCGTGTAATAAAATTTGAAAGCAAGCACGGAGAGGTATTCGATCGAAATTTTAAAACACAACCACACCTATAGGAACTAAATCAGATGGAAGAGATTATAATGCACAAGCTCGTAAGTTTCAGTACGAGTATTTTGAACAAGACAGAAAGAATTTACAGAAGGATGGGAGGATACCGCAGGAGCACCAGGAAAGTGATGGAGAGGGACGTTATCAGAAACATTGTAAGTGAAGGTGCAAGCTTTCTGATTGTTGACCACCCAGCGGCGTGATCGTGACGCTGATGATGATACGAATGGCTTTTGACGACGTCGTCGTCGTTCTTCATGTCTCTCTTGAGCTCTGATCAGCTGTGGCGGCCAAGTAGTGGTGGAGTAGCAGGGAAACACAATACTCGCCATTATGCTTCCAAGCTATTTCCTTCATTCAGTTCTTTGGTCATTTGGCGTCGCGTTTGTCCTTTTCTCGTCTTTTATAAATAAGTCGCCACGTGTTATTGAATTCATTTTTGGGAAAATTGCAAAAAAAGACCTTGGAATTGCAAAAACGCAGATAGGGACCCTTGACAACTTCACTTTGGGTTTGACAACTTCAGGGCATATTATTCTTGTCAAAACCCAAAGTGAAGTTGTCAAGGGTCCCTATCTGCGTTTTTACAATTCCAAGGTCTTTTTTTGCAATTTCCCCTTCATTTTTCTTATGAATGGTATAAAAAAGTTTAATGATAAGTTAAATAAAACTCTAATGATACCCATTCTTCAAATATATTTTTCACCTGTTTTTATCTTTTAGAGTTCAAGGCCAACTCTCGTGTCTATATCACTATGAATTCATACACAATGCCTCCAGTGCTATTTACAGTACACTGAATTAACCACAATGACATGAATTGAAAAGCTTGATTGAAATTAGTTAAAAGTCTTCCTTCTTCCCACTTTATTTTTAATTAAAATTACTAACTTTAATTTTTGACTCTAATGTCGAGTGTATCATCCGAATGAATTAATATGATGTATAGACCTTTCGGAAATAATTCATAGATATTTAACTAAATTTTATAAATTGTCTCATATTACATGCTAAACAACAAAACTTCCAAAAAACTTTTTTTTTCCTAACACTATCTCCGATCGTTATTACAAATGCTCCTCTCTCCTTCCGATTTTCATAATATATAATATATGTTTTATCTGTAGTATTAATGCTTCTACCTAATATTTTTAATTAACTATAAATTTTTTTAATAATTAATTAAATTCTTTTAACTAAACTTTATATTGAGGATAATTTTAATATTTTATTAATTACTTTCAACTTATATAAAATGATTAATTGAAGTTTATGAAAATGAAATGAATTCAGTATCATTAGTTCTTATCTTCAGTCCTAAAAATAAAATTTAGTTTGTAGTGTAAATTATACTAAAAACTAGATCTTATATTTATGATAGAAAATAATATTTAGAACTCTTTCTGGTCTTTCTTATAAGCTTAAAATAACTAAAAACAGTTAAAAATAATAAATAGGTCAGAAATATAGTTTTATTTTCAAATTTGTCCTAATAATATATGAGAAAAATGATAAAAGAGAGCATATGAAAAAATGCGATACGAGGATATAACAAAAGAGAGATGATAAATAATTAAGAATAAAATTAAAAAATACATTAAATATTTAAATAAATCTTAAATTAAATTTATAAGATAGACACACGTGTCTTTCTAAATTTAAAACTTAACAAATGGACTATGAGGTGTCACAAAGTCAACGAATCCGGTGAGGAATGAGGACGAGGCGGTCATTTTAGTCTTCTGCTAAAGTCAAGCCTGTGTGGGCACACAACTTTAAAGTCAAACAAAACTCAGTTAATTGCTCGTGGACGTTAACCTGCACGCCACATCACATCCTTTTGGAATCGATCCCTTTCGGCCCAATTTAGACTGTCCAAATAAATAAACATTGAACGGTCCACATGTACAAGCAATTAAGCATCATCATACATGAAAAATGGGACAAAAACTTTATATTCAAATAGAGAAATGTAGCATGACGGGGGTAGTGGCGTCACGATTTCAATTATTTCACGTGTAAAACAAGCAAGCAATAAGTCACGTTGTTCTTTATCATGCCGATTGAAGGAAGTATATATGCACACATCATGGCCTCTAATTATGGTTTGATTAATGTTAGTTGTTAGTCACCATTAATGCGGTATACATCAATCAAGAAGACTGCCCATTCGGGCAAACTTTTTTTTTTTTTTTTGAAAATTTAAATAAAGGGACAGATCCCTCGTATATGTACCTCTAGCTGGTCTGACAGTACAAAATAGATCTTGTATACTCTTCCATGTTTCTGATTCATGACGAATAGCGGAAGCGTTACAGGATATGTTACATGAGAGTATTTTAGAAAGATCATCTCCTAATTATTGGAATTAAATAACTTATTTAGTTTTGTTGGTGTACCTGAATTAGTTAAGCGACTATTACGTTAAGCAAATGATGTGCAATGTGGAGGCGGCTTATTATTAAAGAGATGCAGAAAAAGCTGTAGGGGCGAGGACATGGCTCATGTCATCAGGAGACACTGTTGAAAGAAAAGGCAGTGAAGAGAAATAACGATGAGAACTCAGACGGCCACTGCAATAACAAGACCTCGAGCTTTCATGCTTCTCCGTATATAAGAAATCAAAACCTGATACTTTTACGGATTATAAATAGGGGAAATCACAAATAAATTTTTGTTAGCATTATAATGCAAAAAAAATAATAAGTTAACTCATTTACTCTTGTTCCAGGTGATAACAACAATACATTTGGAAATAACAAGTTTTGATTGTAAAATAACACGTCTGGAATAAAAATTTAACAATGTGTTTTTTTTATAACAATAAATTTTGTTGCAGGTAATAACAACAATACATTTAAAAATAACAAGTTCTGATTATAAGATAATAAGTCTGGGATTAAAATTTAACAACATGTTTTTTTATAACAACACACTTTGTTTCAGGTGAAAACAACAATACATTTGGAAATAACAAGTTCTGATTATAAAATAACAAGTCTGGAATTAAAATTCAACAGCACCTTTTTTTTATAACAATTAATTATTTTATACTTTTGGAAAATAAATTATTTATAACTTATAAAAAGTACTTGTAATCTATTTAATTTGCTAAAAAAATAATTTTTATCTCCAATTTATAATCAGAACTAGAAATATAATTTTTTATAGATTAAAAATACTTTTTTTATTGTTCAAATTTATAAATAAAATTTAGGGAAAATGGCAACACACTTTTTTAATTTTTTTTAAAAAATTTTTAATCTATATATCTATACAACTTATTATAAATCAAACTAATTCTTATAAATTATAAATAGTACAATTTATTGTGGATTAAAAATACTTTTTGACTGTTTAAATTTATAAATGAAATTTATCTCTAATTTATAATTAAAAATACTATTTTATTCTTTAAATATAAAAACTATTTTTAATATTTAAAGAATGAAATAATATAAAATTTATACTATGATTAATAGATTAAAAATACCTTATTATAAATACTTTATAATTTATAAGAAGTAGTTTGATTTATAATGAGTTGTATAGATATACAGATTAAAAAGTATTTTTTAGAGAAATAAATATGTTAAAAATATTTTTTATAAGTTATAAACAATTTATTTTTTAAAAGTATAAAATAATTAATTGTTATAAAAAAACGTGTTGTTAAATTTTAATCCTAGACTTATTATCTTATAAGCAGAACTTGTTATTTTTAAATGTATTGTTGTTATCACTTGAAACAAAGTGTATTGTTATAAAAAAATCGTGTTGTTAAATTTTAATCCCAAACTTGTTATTTTATAATCAGAACTTGTTATTTTTAAATGTATTGTTGTTATTACCTGCAACAAAATTTATTGTTATAAAAAAAACATATTTTTAAATTTTTATTCCAGACGTGTTATTTTACAATCAGAACTTGTTATTTCCAAATGTATTGTTGTTATCACCTGGAACAAGAGTAAATGAATTAATTTATATTTTTTTTTGCATCATAATGTTAACAAAAATTTATTGGCTCAATGGTCATTTCTTATTTTGGGAAGCATTAGGTTGGGGGATCAAATCCCCCCAACCTCACTTCCCCCACTATTTAAAAAAAAAAGTTGCAAAAAAAAAAACAAAGGAAGGCCGCCGGCGCCGGAGCTCCGGTGGCCGGATTCCGGTGAGGCAGTGGCTTTCTTTTTTTTAAAAAAAATTTAAAGAGGGGTATTTTGGTAATTTGGCCATGATTTCATAATTACAATTTGAGACCGGGTCCCTTATGGTAATTTGGCATATTCAGGTGACCATAGAGTAATTTTGCTAATTCGAGGGTCTTTATTTATGATTTCCCCTTATAAATAAGGAATTATAATTAGATCCGAAAGTAATATTATTGAATTTAGCAATGATGGTTGCGTTATGATGATAAATCCAGAGCCGCAGCCACAAACGGCTAGGCGAGGATTCTGTGGTTTGGTAGAAAGATGCGCTTCGATATATTGAGAAGAAGGGAGACCAAGATCAAAGGTATAATGAATTAATGACGACTTTCCCCCCACTCAATAATTTCGTTGTACATTAGCTGCGTACGTAGGTGCGTCGTTCTACCTATACTCCTTCGCCGGCCGACACTGTGCCGTCCTAGGGGCAGGATCTGCAACTCGGAGCGCGTGCGGGTAGGAATAGGAATAAGCCAGGGAGGTTTTGTCCTAACAGGCAAACCTGCTTAATAACACACTTGTTTGAACTGGACCTGTGACCTGTAATAAGTTTTTTTTTTTCAGTCTGAACTTGACCTATATAAAGGTCTGGCATGACTTGAGCCTGTTAAAAAAATCTGTAAATTTTAAAATTTTAAAATACATAATAAAAAAATACATAAACTAATAAAAAATATAAAATATATATACTGCATAATAATTATTTGTCTTTTATTTAAATTTTAATGTCATGAGTAATATTTTAAATCTTAATTACAGTTAATATTATTGAAAATAAGTTATAATTATATATTAAAATTTAAAATACGACTAGATATAAGCATACAACAAAAATTAAAAATAAGATACAAGCACTAAAAGGTCTAGGCCTAGCTTATTAGGCTAAACAGGCCATCAAGGCCTAGCTTATTAGGCTAAACAGGCCATAAAAAAAACCCGAGCCTTTTTCTATTTTGAAAAATACCAGGCTAGGTCAGACCAAATACAAATCAAGTCACAGGTCTTTGACAAGCCGCTTGGTCTATTTCCATCTCTACGTGCGGGTAAGAATTTATTCTGGAAAAGAAGAATAAAATAAATAAACAGATTAAACATGATGACTATGTGTTGGTGTTGGAAACCCAAAAAATAATTATTTAAACAAAGTTAAAATTACAATATTTTAATTCAGGTACTTAAGAAGTCAAAATTTTATAAGAAAATGTGGTACATCATCTGATATTTTGTAAATATAGTCAAATAACTAAAATGTCTTTATATCATTTTTTTTAAAAACAATCTATCAAAATTGTCATTAACTGTTCAACACTTATTATTGTCTGTTCACAACTTATTAATAAATAACTTGTATTGTTAGTACGTTTCTTATCATTTGTTTCACAACACTAGTCATTGTCAATTTATAACTCACTAATAAACTTTTTCATGCAAGGACCATTTTGTTATTTAACTATATTTGTAAAATACCAGATCATGCATAATTTCTTCTCCTGAAATTTTGATCTCTAAGTACCTGAATTGAAATATTAAAATTTTTAACTTATTTTTATGTTATTTTCTCAATTATTTTTATATTTTACGGGATACAGTTTTTTTTCACACATTTATATTTTAAGTGCAAAATTATTTGAACAAGTTAAATCAAATATTCCTAAGTGCCTGTGAATTCCGCTTAGCTTTTTCTTTCCCCTCTTAAATAGGGTCCAACGTCCAATGTTTTACCGCGCATATTTAAAAATATTATTAATATTTTTTTGTTTTGTCAAATCTTTACGTGTTACGAATTTATTTTAATGATTAAGGTTCTCTTAACATTAAACTTTCAAAAATGGCAAAAGTAAGTTTATAATTAGAAAAATAATGAATATTGTGTATCAAAAAAAAATAATGATATCACGTTGAATTTTTATGAAGACACGTGTGTAACAAATTAAAAAAAGGAGACTGTTAATTATTTCTCCAAAAAAGAAAGAAAGAAAGAGAGGAAGCTTTCCTCGTGTACGTTAAGGAAGTTCAACCTTCTTATGGCAATTGGATTGTGATGCTTCTTTGGCTTTTTTAATAATCTAAAAATCAATGCATCACCATAAATGAATATTACAAATATCTCATCTTCCACCACCTCTCCTCTCTCCCAACAGATGGTGGTGTTGGATTATAATTTTGATCACGTTTAAAAGAAGCTAATCGCTATGCTAATTAACCTGTCCATCAAAGTCCAGATAGCTACACTGAAGTTATAATTTTATGCACTCTCCAGATGAAAGGTGCAGGAATTTGTTTTTAGCAAATTTGTTTAACAAGTTGCACGCTATCAATTAACCAGTTTTTTCCACAAAATTTTTTTATTAGTTACCTAAAATCTAATACTAACAAGTTAAATTGGAAATGGAATCAGCAGGGAATCTTGTAATTATCGTCCTGAAAAAAAGAAGGATAAATCTTGCAATGATTCTTTAAAATCTGGATACAAAAATCACTTAAAAATTCTGTTCTTACGTGTGCCTAGCTCTGTTTTAATCGATCAAATAAGGAAAATAATTTTATATACAAAGACGGGCCACAATAGTATGCCATCCCATGCAATATATACGAAATATTCGCATGCATATTTAATTATTTATAGTTTGTTGCTCCTTCTTCTTTATTATTCTGACCGTCATCTCATGTCAGAATCATCAATATACCAGTACATACAAATACATAATACTCCTAAAATCTTGTCATCATCTGATAAAATGGGCAGGATATCCAAGGTCTTGGTAGTCCAGTAACACGAAACTCTTGGTAAGTTGAATCCTGTGTCTAACTTTAGATTATTAGTAAATCCCTTTAACTAAAAAAAAATAATTAACAGGCATTGACAAACACAAAAGCCTATATTCCCTGAATTATTTATTTCTATTCGCTGCTTCCTTTTATCCCCGGCGTCGTTTCATATCAAATTTATTCCCATTTCCCCCTTTTCTGGCCCTTTTCGAATATTCCTCTGTCCGTCTCTCTTCCTCAGTTGTCTTCACGTTCATTTTCCGTCCCCAAATATGCGAGAGCAGAGGTACCTGTTTTGTTTTCAGCTCTGATTTTCATCAATTCATCATCAGGTCGAAACCGATTTACCGGAGATGAAATTCGGGAAGGAGTTCAAGACGCATTTGGAGGAAACCATTCCGGAGTGGAGAGACAAGTTCTTGTGCTACAAACCCTTGAAGAAGCTCATTAAGCAGGTTCCGACACCTGGGATTGCGCTTCGCCATGATATCTTTCAACCCCCAATCGACGTCCCGCCCGTTCCTTCCGTGCAATCCGATGCCGATCAGGATCATCCAGAACCTGCTCCTCGGCCCTATTTGGACCTCCAGGCCTGGTTCATCGTAATTCTGAACGAGGAGCTGGAGAAATTCAATGATTTTTATATTGATAAAGAGGAAGACTTGGTCATCCGCTTCCAGGTTCTTTTCCTTCTCTTTTTTGTAGGGCTTGGAATTACTATGGGCATGATAAGTTGGTACTACTGCATCTTCATTAATTTCATGTCCTGGATCATTAAAACTTCTAATTTAGGTACAGCTGACTGAATAACATCTTTGCTCTGTTTTGAAGTTCTAGCTTGTTACCACCCTACCCTTTCTGGACCACAAGCGAAAGTTTTTACTTTTATATTCACACGAGGTGCACACCGATCGAACTTCACATACCATTTATTTTTCAACCCTTCTTGCGGGAAGTTGGTATTAGCAGATAATATAAATTTAATTGCCCGTAAATCCAAATGAGCAAATGACTGGCCGTCAGCACAACTGGGTACTCGGAGTATGGCATGGAGGCCTTACTTTGTGGTCAAGGTTCTTGATAGTTTATTCTTTTTGTAGTACTGGACTCTTGGACTGTTAGGAATGTCTTTTTCCAATGCTAACAATAAGTACCCTTACATGTCTTGCGAATCAATCATTGCTTTTATGGCTTCTAAGTGGCAGAGACGCTGATCTAAAGACCTCCCCTTAATAACGTGAATGGCTTCTTTATAATTGTTAGTTTGTTACCCCGTCAATTCTTGATGATTGTGGTTAAAAGGTTTGTTGTGTTATCACCAGTTTGTATATATTTCTACTGTTTGTTCCAGATAACTGTCTTTAGATTGTTGTAACTCTTGCATTTAATCTTGACCAAAGGGAAGATAGAATCTGGCCATTGCATAAGCTACTTATTCAGAGGAGATTAACTACGTGTAACAACTCAATCAGTTCTAAATCTAGAAATTCGATAACTCTTGCAGCTTAGCCAAACCAAGATTGCATGTCCCTGGCAAGCGAATCTCATGCCACATCAGATATTGTGGTTTGGTTGTCTCACTTGTTTCGCATGTGGTGCAACATGACAATTAATTTACAATGGCGGTTAATATGCCTTCAAAGGCATTGAAAACGATCTTACTGGACTGTATAGAGTGAGTGTGTAGATACCTCTCTTTGTGCCCCCTCCAATGTGCCACATTCATATTCTTCTCTTTTTTAACCTTGAAATTGTGATTATTTCTTACAAATATTTAGGTTGAAAAGATGGCAGAAGCCTTTATGGCCAAACTCGTTGGGCTTTAAATTTATATAAATATTTCTTCCTTATATCTCAAATTGAGGAACTTAATCTGTTATAATTTATATCCTACAACATTTATGATATGGGTTTTCTTCCATTATTATTATTCCCACAAGCTAGATGAGCCCCCCTCTTCTAGTTAAGTGATATATAATTTGCAACTCCATAGTTGAATTAGCACAAAAACAAATTGATAAATGCTTCTGCTTCTGGGGATTATTTTTGTCATCTGAGAAATCAATTTATAATGGTCAAATGGTTTGCCGAAAAAGTAAAATGGGAATCATTGACCACTTGCCGGAGAATCTTCATGAAGCTGTCTGTGGGGAATCTTTGACACACTTTTATATTTTGTTAATGTAGCCCTTCTGTGATTTTTATCGACAATTCTGGACAGGTGCTGAAGGAAAGAATTGAGCGTCTTAAAGAAAAAAGCAGCAGGAATGAAATGTACGCCTCTGAAAGTGAATTCAGTGAAGAGATGATGGATATCAGGAAGGACTTGGTCACCATTCATGGACAGATGGTGCTACTAAAAAACTACAGCTCCTTAAACTTTGCGGGTAGGGCATCTAGTTTTCTTCTTATTATTATTAAACCTATGTATTGTTGGTGGGGCTTTTACGGTGAGGTGGCATCTTCTAATGTAATGACTTCACAGATACAGCTAGTGCAGAATTCATGTCTGTGTGTTTGTGCGTGTCTGGTGGAATTGGAGTTAGGGGATTGCTTGTTCTGAAACCATTAATATATTTCTGCTTCAACAGGGCTAATTAAAATTCTGAAGAAGTATGATAAGAGAACTGGTAGATTGTTGCGTCTGCCTTTTACTCAATTTGTTCTCCGTCAACCCTTTTTCACAACAGAGCCTCTGACTAGGCTTGTACATGAATGTGAGGAAAATCTTGAACTGCTGTTCCCCCTTCAAGAAGAAGTAATTCAATCAGCTCGGCCTACTGGAGATCAACCTAAATCACCTGTAGATAGTGCAGCAAACACTTCACCTGAGGCATCCTCAACTCTCGGTGAGGAAACTGCGTATCTATATCGCAGCACTCTTGCTGCAATGAAAGCCATAAGAGGCCTTCAAAAAGCTAGTTCCACCTGCAATCCATTTTCCTTTTCAACCCTCTTTAGTAACCAAGATGCTGATAGTACTGGTGCTGTCACAGTTGAAAATTCTCCAGCAGATTCTCGAGCTTCCTTGTGGGATGGGGAAGACACTGATGAAGAGGAAACCTATTCTGTGTAGCACAACTTCTCTTTTAGAGTGGCTTGCCTTCTTGTTTGGATCTAAGCAAAATCTATTGATTGATATACAATAAGTAGCGTGTAATGCGAGCATTTGACTCTGAAAAATGATACTTGCTCGCTGCCTTTTTTTATCCACTTTTACACCTTTGTGTGTCTTTGCTGAGCGGTTACCCTGTGTTGATAACTTTGTATTGATGGTGGAAACTTAAATGTAAACTCTGATGGTAACCTTTGTAGGAGTTATTGACTTAAAAGCTTTTGTACTTTCTGGTGTAGCATGTGTTGCTACCTATCATAAGGTAGCGTGAAGAATTTGTTAACAACAAATAACATTAACCTTCATCAATTTAAATTAGAAATACCTCAATGCTTTTCACCCAAAAAAAAGAAAAACCTCAATACAGCACGGAATCAAACTATTGTAATGGATTATGTCTGAGATTGGGGTTTCCCCAGTTCTCAGATCATCCTTAAGCAGTTTTGTCACTATTCTGGGGGACAAAAAGCCACTAGTTGCTGCATATTCCAGACTTAACATTGGCATATATCCATTTGGTAGCAACGGAATCCTTGCTATTTTCCTTCTGATTTCCTGATCGCTGTATTTTCATGGCTGCCTCTTTCTCTTGACCGTATATGTTTACAATTTATATGGCAGTGTGCTGTTGGTCACCTTCATAGTTAAATGGAAGCGGCACTGACTTGAATGGCCGATACTTCCCTACATTGTTTAAGTGCTCGTTCTCCAACCTGTTTACATATAACTGACGAGTATTAAATACAAATACCAAGTGGTGTTTTTCAATTGTTTTTTCAACCAGAACCACGAGGTGATAAGGATTCGCTTGATTCCCCCCCCCCCCCCCCCAAAAAAAAAGAAAGAAAAGAAGAAGAAGACATGATTAGTTTCTTTTGGTTTATTCGCTAAGTAACACATAAATAACAAGTGGGGATAAAAACCAGATAGTCCCGCTGTTAATTTATGCAGTTAAAGACAGGTGAAAGATATTGCTATCTGATTGCTATGTGATTTCTACTCTATTTATTTCCCATGAGAATACGAGACCTTTCCATTCTGACAATTACCACCGGCCATAATCATGTTGCTGAATGAAAATTCCAAATGCCACGGCGAATGATCTCCAAGCAAGCCACCAGAGCAGTCAAGGCTTTTCTATGCAGGAAAGGGGCGTGTGTAACCCCTAAAACTGATTGCATCCAAGCAAGTCGCAGCAAAACATTCAACACCTGGTGGGTGTTTTGTTCATAAACAATTAAACACCAAGCAAGTTAATTAGCTTGCAAACAACCCAGATAATGAAGAAGGCGGATCCCTAAAGTAACTTACCATAGCGGCGAAGTATACACTTTTGTTAGAAACCGAGAGTTTATTTCTCAACCACGGGTTTCTTGAATCTCGTCGCAGCAAACCCCAATCTATTACAATGTCCCAGTATGTGTTCATAATCGTAGCAACGCCTGAAGAAGCTGCAGCCAAAATTTTCCACGTCGATACTTCGTTCAATGTCAACTCATTACCAGTCCTTGTGGCTATGGCAAATATTGTTGACATGTACTTAAGCCCGTTAAGCCCGTGCATTGCATTTCTCTCCTCAACCACATCGTCGAAGGCACTATAACGACATGGTTCTTGTTAGGGTTACCAAAATCACCCAGCCCGTGTTTAAAGTGCAGGGTAGCAAAGAGGATACAAGTTGAACTCAGATTTGCCTGTCTGTCATTTGCAGACCTGGAGGAAACGGATCCAGAATGGAATAATAGCTACAATGAAGTAAAATGTTTCATATACTTTATTTTCGAGGCACTTGTTTTTTCTCGTCCTGAAGTTTCCAGACACATAGTAACAAACATAAAATTCCAAACTTCTGAAGGCCTGCACCTGAACTCAGAAAGAGAGAATAGTTGGCTCAATATGAATGAAGGAAAGTAGGAAAACTTATTAGTGGTTTCTCATTTCTGCATGTTCTATTACAGTGACTCAGTGAGTGTGAGATGTAAGCATAAGCAGCAGTATGTGTGAAATATTGAACCTGGCTGGTAAGCTGGTCTGCCAACATATTATCTGCGAGGGTAACCTACAAACAATGAAGAAATCATGGGATATCTTATCATTTCTGAAGATTTTAACATAAGCAGAGTATGTATCTTTTTATACTTCGAATTATTTCTTCTCCTTTACCTTGTAAAGCGGAGCGCAGATGCAATGAAACATACAATGGATAACAAAGAAGCGGCTGGATTTATATATGATGTTGAAGGGGCAAAATGTGATGATAATCAAAACCTGTGATGGAAATTCAATAGAATAAGTTGACAGCAGTCAAATAAATGGCACAGTATATAGAATTGATCGCTTGTGTTTGGGTAAACTTTAACTCTTGTTGCTTTGGCATAGACCGCAAACGATCAATTGTATAGCCAATGACAAAATAACAAGATTGGGAATAAGATGTCTTCCAGAAACTTACAAGAAGAAGACCTAGAGGAACTAATTCTGTAAATACTGCGAAACTTTGTGTTCTTGTGTCCATCCCCACATCCAGGTTTGTGAGTACTGCAGCCCATGTGAGCACTGCAAGGCCCGAACTAAGAAGAAGAACTTCTCTGTAACTCAACTCTGTCCCTTGTTTGAAGCCAAATATGAACGAGTAGTTGATTTTGAAACGACGCCAGAAGTATATATTTGCAGAGTACATGAGCATATGCAAGATTATGAATCCAAATAAACTGCAGATACATGAAGTTCTCAGTAATATTTTTTGAGATTGCAGAAAACATGTATGGTCAAGGCAAAGGCACAATGGTGTGAAATCACGCAATAAATTTCACAAAAAATACATCCAACTTACCTGTAAAGAGGGAATATGTTTTCCATATAATCATTTTGCCCCTCTATATTTAAATTGCTTAAAATGTCTCTCGCTTGAATAATTATGATTAGGGCCACCATGAGAGCAATTGAACAACCAGTAAGTAGCCCTGATAAATAAAAAAGTAAGGATGCTACCGTGAGAAAGTAAACTGAAGATTCACCATTTTTTTATGAAGAAACAACTAGGGGAAACTCAAATAGTACTTTTATGACCATGTCAAGTTGTCTGACAGATTGACAGACAGGGAAGTGTAGGATCCGAAGTACCAGGACATTGAAGTTATGGCGAGCATAATGAAGGAAGGCTTATATTCATCATATGATTCAGAAAAAAGAAATTGTAATTTCCGTTTTCACCAATATTATGACACTATAGAATAACAATTAAATAAATAATCAGTTATTTGGAGCTCAGATATTACCCAAGAAAAATATAATTCTGTGTCGCTCTCTTTTAGCCGTAGGTCTCAATATTTTCATTCCTTTTCTGTGATTCCCATTTGAAAAATGCTTTATGAAGGCAGCTTCCACCCTTTCCATGAGCCTATTAACCTGTACACGACATGATGAGGCAGGCACCATTTAAGTCTTGGGGTACAACTTGAATAACCAATAGAAGATAAGTGCGGGATTTATATAGAACCTCCTCAGAGCTGCCAACAAAAGAATTGTCTACCATTTTTAAGTACTCCGTTGATGCATTCCTTGAACAGATCTGCAGTATTACAAGTCAATGTACAGGGAAGCCAAAACACTGCAGTCGAAGACTGTCTTTCATATAAAATAGGAGGATAAGGATACCTTGTCATACTTCTTCATGATCTTTGAAAATGCCAACAGGTTCAAGAAGCTGCGTGGAAATAGAGTGCGTCTTCAGTAACTTGTAAAAAAAAAAAAAAAAACCATTTGAAAAGGGTAGGAGGAAACCATATCACCTATAGAATTTTAGAAGCCGAAGCTTATTATAAAACTCCTTGAAGGCCTTGCTTAGCTGTTCCTCTGCCTTCCTTAGCTCTTGTTTGCTGAATGACAATTCAGATGTCGAACAGGGGAGGAGCCCTTTTACTGTTGATACTGGAGTTTCAGGTTCAACAAGGTTGATTTTGACATGATCCAGGATCCTCAATGAAGGTGGTATAAAGCCCTGAATCCTTAACTTAGAAGTAGCTTGTTCTGCACGATTTCCGCTTTCATCTTCTGCTTGCCTTTCACTGCTCATCTCAATTTCTTGAATCACATTCAAGTGGGGATGGAACTTACCTTCAAAATGTTCATATGCTCAATTGGATTTCAAATTAAAATCTTTCTCAAAAGAAAACCGATTCTAATGACGCGTCAGTGACCTCATTACGATATTATTCAGCTACTGTACTTGAGAAAGAAATACGAAAATAACAAATCTAATCTTACTAGGACTTTCATCATTCACGTGATGTTCCATGGTACTCGAAGTTGAGGGACCACTACTGTCAAGATTTCTGAAACCTCCCACTTCATCCACCTTCACCCTAAGAGCAATAAGGGCATTCATTTGGTTATTAAACTCCTCTGCCTCTTCCATGACTTGCTTCACCTTCATACTGTAGAAGTTATGGACCCTGTTGAACTCAGCATCTAGCTTCCCGAAAAACAAAGCCTCTAGTTCTCCAATTCCTCAGCAGACTTGAGGAACATTGTCTGATACAACCTTTCTGACCCTTCTTTCTCCTCTTCACGAACAAGCATAACCTCATCGTCATTACTATTCGTCGTCAAACCTCTTTGTCGACCTGTAAGCCCACTAAAGGCTCTGGACAGAGTTAACTTTCTCTTCAGAGACCCCTTTGGGGCGGATGCCATTGCCGCCGATGGTGCATTTCGCTTCCTGATCCGTAATATGTCCTTGAGAATTCCTTTGTGATAGCTGTAATTCATGTATGCTTCGTGCCATTCTGGCACCATTTGTGAAGCAAATTCTTTCCCAAACTTCATCTCTTCTGCAAAAATTTGTGCACATAGACTTCAATAGCTCATTTGTGAGCCACAATGAGGATATAAATTGAAAGATTCAATTCACCGGGTTTCGTCTATTTAGTTTAAGAATCACAACAAAAATGATCCTTTCACCCTCAAGAGATTTTTCCTCACTAGAGTCAGTCTTCTGCTGTAAATCTTTGTGTTAATGTGGTGACCAGAACCAGGATGGCCTTCGAAAACTTTGTTAATTTCTGAAATAAATGAAGCAAGAAAGCAAAGTTGGCTAATTTTCTGTGTCTATGGGAAATTCTTATTAGGAATGGAGGGACCACCTGCGCGCTGGGCCCCGTCTGCAAATTGCAGTGGAACCTGCTAGTTGATAGTTTTTTTGTTTTTGGGGGGGGACTGAGGCTTGCTAGCTGGTAG